AAAAAAAAAAAAAAACCACAACCTCAAAGTCAGACAGTTTAAAAGCCCCTTAATAAATCGCTGTGTGGTTCCAGCCCGGCCGAGGGGGTCTCCTTCACCTGGCGGTGGGCGAGCGGATTACTCTACTCTCCAGGAGCAGTCCGGGCGGAATTGAAAGCGCTTCCAACAAGTGGACTTGGGGGAGGCTGAGGAGGGGTAGCTGAGTGGGACAGGAACGCCCACGCCTCCCCCCTCCCACCCCACCCCCGGGCACCCTGGTGGGCCGAGAGGGAACCCTGAAGGAAGACTTGAGAAATCCCCAGACTTGAGGGAGAGCCGCTCAGATGCTGAAGAGCCCTGCGCAAAGTGTGAGGCCATCCATTTGGTACGGAGCTAGAACTGCTCTCTCCAGGACAGAGCTAAGGTCCTCAGGGTAGCACCTAGTTCAAGAGCAAGCCTGGCTCCAGCTCCCAGATCCAGAGGAAAAAAGAAAGGGAGAGTGTGGACCCGATTAATTAAGGATCAGGGCTGGGCACACGTCCTCCCTGGGTCCATTAGGCCACAGGAAAACACCAAAAGGGCATTTACATTCGGCCCCAAGAACAGGGAAAGGAGTGGACTTGATTCCCAGGAAGGCACTTGCCTAAACTCGTCCTGAGGGAACGCAAGTGGACCCATCTTCTTTTTAATTAGTTGTAATCAGAAGCGAGGGGGTTTTTTGGAAGGCACTTAGACATGAATCTGTACCATTCCACGAATCTTAACAGCACTGTCAATTTTTCCACTTCAAACCACACTCCTTTCTTACCACAGTTTTGCTCTCTATTTAATTACAATACTGTCAAAGCTCATGGCATTGCTTGGGAGGACCAGAAAGCAATACACCCATGTTCCTGCTGGTTTTCCAACATTTACGTCTAAAGAACACTTAGTGAAATTGATGCTGCCATCTTAATTTAAAAATAAAAGCCCTCTCCTTGTATTTCTTGTACTTGACTGATTAAGGATGCCAGCAGAATGGACACAGGTTGCATTATCAAAATAACCAAACGTCATTTTACTCCATCATCTTGCACTAATGATATCACTGGCGTAAACATACCCATACTCTGCACTGGGATCTTCTGCATTATCAGCTGCACAGGAAGGCAAATCACAGTGGAGCTCAACTTTGCACAAAATATCTCACCCATTGATTTACAGGCACTGAGAAAGAAGACAATTTTCTACTAACAACTACAGAGAAAAAAGGCTGAGGGCAGAAATGTACACAGAATGGAATTCTTCAAAGTGTTGGGTTTTCTAGTACCAATGGTGTGCGTGTGGGTTTTTTTTTTTTTTTTAATTACTGGATGTTGAAACAGAACACCTCCTAGAAGCATTCATGTGCATCAGTCTATCAAACCATTTACTCAAATTAAATGTGTAATCCTTCAAATGCCTCCTTTCAAATTAATGAGTTTAAGTAGCTTGAGTTCACCTGAAAAGATCCTATAGGCACCTGACCTCCTGAATTCTTTCCATTAATTGCACTGAAACTTGTTGGAAAAGACTGCTTACACGGACATATGAATGTTCCTATACATTGCCTTAAAATGCAAGATTAGTATAATTCTATAGCCTCTTTTTCTAAATCTCTTTTGGGGATCAAGGGCAGTGATACAAACGACAACAACAAAAAAGCCCAAACCGAACATTCTTCAACTGAAAAAACTGCAAATTCTACATCGCAAACCACACACTAACACAGGGTGCTGCAAGCCTCCCAGCAAGAGTATGAAGAAAACCATTGCCACTAGGTGTTATGTGTTGTTTTTTTGTTTTTTAGCTTTTTTGGGGTGGGGGGGGCTTAAAATCACAAGTCTTTAAACTGATGGATAATTAGCATTTTTTAGAAAGATCACAAAAGACCAAGTCACAGCTCTTCACTCAAAACTTTCAAGATGCTTACGGAAATATTGTAATACACCATTATGACAGACAAATCATTTCTCACTAACAACACTTAAGTCAGCCTTTTGTCTCCGAGTGTCTGCGTGGGACCCTACCTTGTTTAAGAACGCCGAGTGTCTGCGTGGGACCCTACCTTGTTTCAGAACGCAGTTCAGCTCCCCCTTGAAATGTTTACTTTTAGCCTAAGGTCCAGTTGAGGCTGACCACTTAAAATCCTGGTCCAGAGCGTGCCCAACCTTTGCACACCTAACGGCTCAGTCCCACCAGAGGGCCAGAGTCTGTACTTAGGATGGCCTCTGCCATGAACGTGTCGCAAAACACTGGAGAACGAGCACAAGCTCCCCGAAATCCAGCCCACCGGGAGGTTTCGGGGGAGAAGGCCGCAAGGTGCTCCATAGGTGGCCACGCCTTTCCTTGCAGCCCTACTCACCAAACCCTGGCCTCGCCAGGGCTCCGCCGGCCCATCTCGGGGAAGGGCAGCGAAGTCTTACCTAATGTAGTCATTTCTGCAAAGGATCATGCCGCTCTTGGTGTAACAGGAAGTGCCGATGTCGCCCAGCTGCGCCTGGCAGCAGGAGCACTTGAGGCACCGGCTGTGCCAGTAGCTGTCCATGGCATACAGCAGAAAGCGGTCCGCAATCTTGCCCCCGCAGCCTGCGCACCGCTTCCAGGAGAGGGAGCCGGCCGTCACCGGGGGCGGCTGCGAGCTGCTGCCCGGATTCACCATGGTCTGCAGAGGGCGGGAAGGGGGACGGGGGGAGAGAGAGACAAAACAGGGGCGATGCAAAAGTTAGTAATCGCCGGCGAGAGCGCACGCCCGTTCCCCTCCTCCCCCGGAGCGCTGGAAGGAAGCCGCAGGGCAAGGGCGGGAAGGAGGCCGAGGGGGAGAGGGAAGGAGGGAGGCTCGCCGGCGGCAGCCGCCTGTTTACTTTTCTCAAGCTTTGTTCTGGGGCCACGAGCTCCTCGCAACTTTCCTGCGCTCGCCGCCGCTGACAATTTCAGC